AGTCGCTCCAAACGGTCGGGTCATCTCAGGAAATTCACGTAGTAAGCCGTCGTATTCAGTTTCTCCCACGACAACCTTAATAGATGGTATGGATCATTTAGCAGCGTGACCCCGAGCAGTGAGTTGTGTAAGTCCGTCTAAAAGACATTAATTACGCACATCTACCAAAAGATTGTATTGACTTAAGAAGTCAACACCAATAATGGACTTGGATACTTCCGCAATCACAAATCTCCAAGTGAAATCTCGACGAAGTCCGAAGTTTAGACGGAGCGTGATAGTGCCGTAGGTGTTAATAGGCGTACCATTGGCCGCTGATAGGATGTAATCGGTTTTTATTCGATAGCCTGGAACAGCACTACGTGGATAAACACATAAGTAAGCGCCCGTGTCGATGAGAAATTGTGTTTGAGAAGTTCGATCTGTGATGAAGAGACGGCGTGGAAACGGACCAGGCTCACTGGCCGTCATCAGTGATGTCCCGTCCCGTTTCCCGATTTATAGGTACAAGGTTCCTTGCATTTTCGCGATTGTGATCCATAACGCCAATGATACCAACATAATCCATCTACGCCATGAAAAGTACGGCTTCGAATCATCAAATCTTCAAATCTTCAAATCTCGAACAGTAAGTACTTGGTTTTGAGTTCGGATTACGCGAGGGACGAGTATTTATCGCCGCTACTTCACTTCTCAAGGTCGCGATTTCTTGATTAATACTTAAGCTAAGTTGAGAGATCTTAAGATTCAACATGGCTTYAAAAGTATCACTTCTTGAAGTCTCTGCTATTTGAGGTAGAAAAGGACCCGATGCATCAGCGATGTTGTCTGCATGGACAGCGAGATCTTCAAGCTTGCTGTCTTTAACTATTGCTAACGCTACTTGTATACTTTTCGGTAAGCGACCCATCCAGAGTGTCTTCAATAATGTTTCCGGAACGGAAGAGTCAGCTAGGCTTTGGAGGTGGCGTAAAAATTGTGACGGTTTACGGTCTCCAATCTCAACGCGTTCCAAAAGTTGGCGTGTTTTTTCCTCTTGGGAGGCACTAAGACGTCTTATTAATTCCTGTTTAATTTTAGCGTACTTACTGTCCGAGGGCGGCGGTAATGCTCCAACTACATACCCGAATTTCGTACTGTCAACTGTGACTCCCGCGCTGGCGAAACTTCCTTCTACCATAGCAAACCAAAGTTCGGGATCTGACGAAATGAAGTCCGGTATCTTGACTGCCACTCGAGCAACCGTTGCGTCTGTCTCCGCCATCACGTTGAGGTCACCAATTTGTGGGTTTTAGGCAATAAAACTCACAATTTAATTTAATT